TTAAGATTTTAGTATATTATATCAGAAATGATTTCTAAACCTACTTTGGCAATTTTCATGAAGAAAGAAATCCCATTTCCCAATTGTTCTTCTCTCATAGAAAGTTGTACTGTTTTAATCTTAATGGAAATGGAAAATACCTACCACCAACAAAAAATCCCCATCTTTCCTTAATAAACTCTAATTTTGCTTCGTAGAAAGAAAATCATTTAAAAAGTTGAATATGCCACAGTACTAAAGTGTGGTGGGAACAAAGATGATAAAGTAACTTGAAAAACCATGTACAGGATGAAGTATAGGCAAGAATTGAGAGTAATTATAAGTTTCTAACTTGGGCAACATTAAAGATGATAGTGCTGTTTACTAATAGAATGTAGGTAGACATGTGATGAGATGATAATGATGGTTTGAAGAAGTTGTTCAGTTCACTGGTATGCTGAAATGATTGAAACATGTATGTTTGAATATGTTAAAAGAGAAAATGTTCTAGAAGGTGACTACTAATAGTCTGAAAAACTGAAGCAGAAATTTGAAGTTTATGATGAGAAATAAAATTAATAGCACTTATGTCCTGCTATTACTCTCACTAGCATCCCCCACCCCATGTCCTCCTTTTTACATTCCAGGTTTCTGCGGTTATTCCAGGAGTTATATAGTCATAGCTGAAGATTTGGAGTTAAGAACCACAGATAGGAGAAAACATGTGGGGGTCTATTTTTCTGGGTTTGGGTTACCTCAATCAGTGTAGTATTTTCTATTACCATCTATTTACCTATAATTTCATTAATTCATTTTTCTTTATAGTTTAATAGTATTCCACTGTATATATTTATCACATTTTCATTATCTATTCTTTGCTCTTTTAAAATGTATACACCTTACTCTTGTTCATTCAAATGCTGATTTCTCTCCCCCACCCTCTGGTTTCAATCGGGCATTGTATTGTGATACTTATTCTAAGCATCACCTGTTTCAACTTTGTGTAAACATACTAAAATAAAACAACCAGCCACAATGTTGAGCAAGGAGAGGAAGGAGTGGGAGGCAGAGAATCTGGGAGAGAGAGTGATAGAAGAGTTCTTGGAACAACGTGGAGAATGAACCGGACCTAAGATTTCACAAAAAGCAAGTATAATGGGTGAAATCTGAATGGTAGGAAACTATGAGGGCTTGGAGGTTTAGGATGGAGTAACTATGCCCAGCATTGTGCTCTAGGTTAACTAAATAAATCATAGTCTCTGTGTGGTGATTTGGTTATACAGCTGGTTAGGATTAACAGCAGCTTTACAAAAAGATATATCAATAGTAAATATTAATTAACTATTACAACAAATGATTACAACAACCATCCATTTACCTATAATTTCATTAATTCATTTTTCTTTATAGTTTAATAGTATTCTACTGTATATATTTATCACATTTTTGTTAGCTATTCTTTGCTTAAAGGACATTTAGGTTGTTTCCATTTCCTAGCTATTGTGAATAGAGCATGCAATGAACATGGCTGAGCAAGTATCAGTGGAGCAGCAAGTTGAGTCCTCTGGATATATGTCAAGGAGTAGTACAGCTGGGTCCTATGGTAGATTCATTTTAAGCTTTTTCAGGATTCTTCACACTCATTTCAGAGAGACTGGATCACTTTGTAATTTCACTAAGAGTAAATGGGGGTTACTTTCTCCCTACATTCTCTCTAGCATTTGTTGTGAGTTGTTTTGTTGACCTTGGCTATTCTGACTGGAGTTAGATGAAATCTTAAAGTTTTCCTAAATTCACATTTCCTTAAATTCTGGTTAGTTTTATGTTGTGACATAACCTAGAATGATCTGAGGAGAGGAACTCTCAATTGAAAAAAATCCCTGTAGAATTGGTCTGTAGGCAAACCTGCAGGGGAATTTTCTTGATTAATGCTTCATGTGGGAGGGCCTAGACCACCATGGGTGGTGCTACTCCAGGGTAGGCAGGTCCTGGGGTGTATAAGAAAACAATCTGAGAAAGCAAGGAGGAGCAAGCCAGTAAGTAGCACTCATCCATGACCTCTTCATCAGTTCCTGCTTCCAGGTTCTTGTACTGAGTTCCTGCCCTGATTTCCCTGGCTAGTGAACTACAAGCTGTAAGATGAAATAAACCCTTTCATTTTCAAGTTACTTTTGGTCATGGTGTTTTATCAGAATAGCAGAAGCTCTAAAACAGAAGACAAACATTTTTTTGAGATATTTCCTAGCCATTTTTATTTATTTATTTATTTTTTTTTTGAAAATCTCTGTTCAGTTCTATAGCCCCATGCACTTTTAAAACTCGATTTCTTTTCTTGAGTGTTTTTTGAATTCTGTATATATTCTCAATATTAATCATCTGTCAGATGTATAGCTGGTAAACATTTTCTCCCATCCTGACATTTCCTTTTTACTTAATTGATTGCTTATTTAGCTGTGCAGAAGTGTTTTAGTTTTATGAGCTCCCACTTGTCAATTGTTGGCCTTAATTCCTGGGCATAGGAAGTGCTATTCAGAAATTCCTTACATACACCTATATCTTGTAGGGTACTGCCTATGTTTTATTTTCTTTAGCAGTTTCAGAGTTTCAGGTTTCACATTGGGGTTTTTGATCCATTTGAATTTTTTTTTTTTTGGCAAGATTATAGATATAACTCTAGGGGATTAGCAAGGTGCAAGTGATTTCAAGTTGGGGGAATGGGGTAAGACAGAGGGAAGGTTTAATTGTGGAGGAAGGATGAAAGAGAGGGTAAAATAAATAAATGTCTGAAACATCAATTGGTTATCCAGTACCAAATGGTCAGCCCAGAAAACATACATACAAGTAACATTGTACAGACTGAGAAGGACTTATTTAGGGATATACATGAATATACATATATGCATGCAACAATTACTAATGAAAAACGGGGCCATGAATTTGAAAGAAAATGAATGGCAAATATGTATGGGGTTGGAGGAAGGAAAGGGAAGGGAGAAATTATGTAAAAATAAAAGAAAAACAAAATTTAAAGGCCATACATAATCATACTGTTATTTATTCACCTAAAATAACATATAGCACATGTAAATCTATGTGTACACATAAAAATACAGTTTAAATGAAGTTATCCCATTTGGGATAACAATATTACTCCCAAAAGAGAGTGACTAATAAAAACCCCAGTACCAGGCATGAGAAACCCCTCTTTTGGAGTTGTCAGGGGATTCCAAGAGACTCCCAACAAAATATAGGCTATTACTTCTGCCTTTAGTTGCCACCCTGAGGTTGAGAATAGGTCCCTACTGCTTAAGATACTACGTACTTCAGACACAAGAAGGTGCTATGGCAACTTTCAAGGGAGGGAGTCAATGTTTTATGATGTTGTTAGACCCATGAAACATAAGGATGGCCATGATGGCACAATAACCTTAAGGGTGCAATAGTGACACTTACATCTTAGTCGTAACCACCAGCTTTCTAATTATATTTAAGGTCTGCTCAACAGGATGGAAATCATGCCTGGCACCAGAAATCTCATCAAATACCCAAGGTTATTGCGGTCATGGATCTTAGAGGAGAACCTATTATCACCCCTTTACTAAACCAACATAATTCCTAACTGCATTCTAAATATTTATCCGCACACCCACAGATAAGTGTAGCTCTCACCTTATTACAAAACAAAAACAAACCAAAAGAAAACTTCTCTTTGCGAAAGATAGAAACTATTACAGAAAAGCACAACCAGTCAAAAAGCAAAGAAAAGTTTTCATGGGTTGCCCAATCCCAGTTGATACATACACAATACAACTCATGCACCTAAGGCTCAGGCAACATTGCAGAAAGGAGAGGAGGCAGAAAAACTGAAAGAGTCAGAAGACCAAGAAGTCTGCTCTGAGATTGTGCCTCCTATGTTGTGTCTCCTTCTTATTCACAGGAAAACTTTGCTCATGATGCCTCAACAATATGGCTTCCTAAATAAGACCCAAAGAAGTAAAACATTAGACATGCTAACATGGAAGAGAGAAATCTCACAGGGTCCTAAACCTAAATAAAGATGTATAGGCAATTAAATAATGCTGAGAGCAGGTGAAATAGTTTTCTTCAGGGATGAGCCACTTAATTGGCTTATCCAATACTAAGTGGTTGGCTAGTCCTGTTACATACATACAAATAACAACAGACAACTGAGCAGGTTGTACCTCTATATCCAGGTGTGTTCGTGTGTGTATGTGTACATCTTGATGCACAAACACAACACACATACACACACACACACACACACACACACTGAGAGAGAATAAGAGAGAGAGAGAGAGAGAGAGAGAGAGAGAGAGAGAGAATTAGATAACTAGGAATGGCTAGGCTTTTTAAAGCCTCAAATTCCACTCCCAATAACATATTTCCTCCAACAAGGAACTAGAGATCAACATGTTATGGAAAGTAAGTCAGCACCACAAAACAACTATTATATGTTTTATTGAACATGAAGTAGATAAGGAGAAAAAAAAGACGTGAAACCAAAAGGGGGCCTACTAGGGATAATAAAACAGAAAGGGAGAGGAGAGTGTAGATGAGTAAGACCAACATAAGGGATGGATATGATAAAAATAAATTACAAACCTGTATAGAACTATTATAATGAGATCTCTCCTTATATTTAATGTATGCTAATAATAATTTTTAAAAGGTATTAAATATAGTTTTTTTTAAAAAAAACCTTAACTATAAAAGGATATAAACACACACACACACACGAATACAGAGTCTAAACAACTATACAAAAGTAGAGAATTAATAAAATGCTGACTGATAGGAAGTCAGCAGATATGGGAAGGCTAAAGATAGAGGAGAATCTCCAGATGAAGAAAAGATGACAACCCAGAGCAAAGGTGGCTTTAGAAAAGATAGGCATGTAATAATGAAGATGATAGTGGTGATTACAATGACTAAAGTGGTAATCACAACTAATACTGAATACTTAGTATGTACTGAGCAGAATGTTAAGTGATTTAAATTTATTTCATCATTTAAACTCTTATCAATATTAACGGATATATTCCATTGCTGATCTCATTTTACAGATGAAGATATGGAAGCTTGGAGAGTTTAACTTAATATGCTCAATAACAAAAAACTAATAATTCATATTCAGAGTGGATTGCACATCAAGGTCTAGTTGATGTCACAGCCTTAACTATTCACTACTATCATTATCCTGCAAATGTACTCAATTTTTACAATTGACTAGAAAGGTCAAAGGTAAACGTAGTTGTTTATTTCTGGTGTTGGTTATAGAATGTGCTCACATGTGCATGCCATGTATGGAGACTAGAAGAAAACTTGTAAGGGGTTGGTTCTCCTAGTCCACAACATGGATATCCCAGGAACTGATGTCAGGTCATCAGGTTTGGTGACAAGTGTCTTAATTAGCTGACTCATTTCATTGGCCCAAAATATTCTTAAGATACAAATTCTTCAAATAAACCAATGCAACGGTATTCAGCTGGGTACCATCATCTTCTAGTATCTTGTTGGAAGGAACCTGCTGTTTGAGGTTTCAGTCCTCCCAAATCTGATAGCCATTCTTAGCTTCCCTTTAAGGTGCAAGACTCCCTCCCCTGCTCTCTGCCTGACTTCATCTGGAAGAGTGTCTTTAGACAGAGATGCCCCTAACCACATTTGATATATGTATAGTCTTTGGCACAGCTCCCTGCTAGCTCTCCCCTTCCCACTCCTATATAATAATTAGGTACTGTGTTCCCATTCATATGATAGGAGTATGCTGTTTATTTAATGGAAATCAAGCATCTGTGAAGTGCCTAGTTTTAACCAATATATACAAATAACCTTGCAACATCCCCATCCACTCCTTAAGGGCTATAGAGCCTTTCTTCTCTGGAATTAATGTTGAAACTGCTCCCTGAAATGGTTCCCAGAGAGTCTGATCTCTGTCATTTTGGCAGGCCTTCCAGGCTCTGAGCCTTGTCTCCTGCCCCTCCTGCCTTCCTGGGCTGGTGAGAAAGAGCTCCCCAGGCAGGAGGAGAACCACACTTTTTTTTTTTTTTTTTAGACGGGATTTATCTGTGTAACCTTGGCTGTCCTGAACTTACTTGTAGACCAGGCTAGTCACAAACGCAGAGCAATTCACCTGCCTCTGCCTCCTTGAATGCTGGGATTAAAGGCATGAGATACCATGCCTGGCTTCCTACTATCTTTTTAACTCCAGGTGTACATGTAAATCATTTTAGTAATATCATTGTCTCAGCCTCATAATCTGTATGCAGAAGCAAGATCAACAACCACAAAGTAACAGCCACAGAAGCCTCTATTAAGTAGCAAACAGTAGGGAATCTGAATATAGTATATGACATCAGGGCCTCAATAGTTACTGATTTACTATGAAAAAAAGTTATTTTTCAGCTATTTCTCCTTTTTTGTAAGATTCAGAGTCTTCTTAATATCATGCTACTAACAGCAATGTTTATAGGAATGATTCTTTGCTATAATATAATAACTAAATAAAATAAAATCAAGAAAATGTATTTTTTTCTTTTTTAATTTATATTAATTTTTATTAATTACAGTTTATTCACTTTGTATCCCCCCTGTACTTCCCTCTCTCCTCCCCTCCCAATCCCACCCTTTCTCCCTCTTCCCCACCTATGTCCCTCCCTCAGTCCACTGATAGGAGAGGTCCTCCTCTCCTTCCCTCTGATCCTAATCTATCAGGTCTCATCAGGAGTGGCTGCATTGTCTTCCTCTGTGGCCTAGTAAGGCTGCTTGCTCCCCCATCAGGGGGAGGTGATAAGTTCCTGTCAGAGACAGTCTCTGTTCCCATTACTATGGAACCCACTTGGACACTGAGCTGCCATGGGCTACATCTGTGTAGGGGTTCCAGGCCATCTCCATGAGTGGTCCTTGGCTGGAGTATCAGTCTCAGAAAAGACCCCTGGGCCCAGATATTTTAGTTTTGTTGCTCTCCTTGTGGTGCTCCTGCCCTCTCCAGGTCTTACTATCTTCCCCTTCTTTCATAAGATTCTCTGCACTCTGCCCAAAGTTTGGTTATGAGTCTTGGCATATGCTTTGATACACTGCTGGGTAGAGTCTTTCAGAAGCCCTATGTGGTAGGCTCCTGTCCTGTTCCCTGGAAAATGTAAATTTTTAAAAGATAAATTCTTACTGTATAGCCCAGATTGTCTTTGAACTAAGTAAGTTCCACCTACTTCTACCTCCTGAGTGGTAAAATTAAAGGCCTGTGCCACCATGCCTGGTCCCACCAAAATGTAATTTTATAAAAAAAGTTTATAGTTAACTAACTTTTTTGGTGAGTTGTAGTTACTTTGAGAAAATATTGTAGCCCTGTGTAGCAGCTTGGAATACTTAGGCAGGAGGACTATTCAAAGCTAGGCTACATAGTGAGTTCTAGTTCTAGGACAAAGCAGCCCAGTGTAAAGCCAGGGTCCGTCTCTTCCCACATACACCACATGTATAGGTGTTACATTTTAAATACATGTGTTATTCCTAAAAGTTTAATGGAGATTGAACTAGAATATATTTCAAAATGAGTATGCTTCCAGGGGCAAACAGAGATACACTCATGTAAGTCCACAGTAAGTAGTTATAACCTTCATTGAAATAAAATAGAAAATGATTAAGAAACTATTCAAGATCATCAAGTAGAAGGACAGACACTACACTAGAAAAGTTTAAGATACTTACCCACAGGGCTCTTGAAAGTAGGTAGTGTCAGTGTGCCTATCTAAAGCTAAGTTGGTGTATGCAGTGTCACCTCTGGAAAAATCTGAAGTGAAATACCACATCCTTCCATAGATGGTTTCTCTGCCAAATAAAATTAAGAAAAAACTATTAGACATTTGTAACTATTAAAAACTATTAGACATTCATTCATCGTTTTCACTTAATATATATAATAGTTATTGTTGTTACAGATTGCCATCTATAAGGAAAAATTAATGGTTAAAATTACCAGTCTTGAAAATTCTGTCACCAATGGACATTCTAAAAACACAAACTAAAAACAAAACATTTGACATTATGAAATCTCAAGGATCACTGCAAATTGTTTACATGACCTTTAATAGTCTCCTCATTCAAAGCTATTCCTTATGTTTACTTTCCTTTTATAGAAACGATGTGGCTACTTGTAGTAAGTGACAATTTTAATTTATATAACGACTACCATCTTTCATATTCATAAATATGAATTAATATTCATATTTAACGAATAATCCTTTTCTAATATATTAGATAATGTAATAACCAAGGGTGATGGAAGAGTGTCCATATTGTTTATATATTATTCATTATTCAAATGCAAATGCTTCTCCTATTGAAATGAAAGTTTCCAAACTTTCTCAGTTGCTTGCTTAGCAGCAGTTTCCTTTATTTGAGAGCTTTGTGATTATGCTTCAAATTGAATGGCTCATAAATGCTGATTATGCTCTCCCAGCACTGTCAAACAGGCAGCATACTTTGAGTAACACAGTGAACTAGTTACACATAAGTTTTATTTTACTTTTTATTTTAATTTTTATTAATTACACTTTATTCACTTTGTATCCCCCTATAAAACTCTCCTTCCTCCCCTCCTAATCCTACCTTCCCTCCCCCTTCTCCACACATGCCCTTCCCCAAGTCTACTGATAGGGGAGTTCCTCCTCTCCTTCCTTCTGCTCTTAGTCTATCAGATCACATCAGGAGTGGCTGCATTGACATCTTCTGTGGCCTGGTAAGGCTGCTCTCCCCTCAGGGGGAGGTGATCAAAGAGCAGGCCAATCAGTTCATGTCAGAGGCAGTCCCTGTTCCCATTACTATGTAACCCACTTGGATACTGAACTGCCATGGGCTACATCTGAGCAGGGGTTGTAGGTTATCTCCATGAATACTATTAGCAAAGAAGTAAGTCTTTGTCACATTTAATGCTATGGAAGATCAATTTATATGTCAGTAAGAAATGAAGAATAGTAATGACAGTAATACTATATTTAGGATCAGGAAACCTGAGATATTTAAATATTTATACTATTGCTTACTGTTACAGTAATCCTAGAAAAGTCACTGACTACATCTTAGCCTCAGGTGCTTAGCAGTAGAACTGAGAATAAAACAAATAAAAAGGGTTAATGTTAAGACCAAAATAAAATACAGGTTGTGAATATTTTAATTAAATGCAATACAAGGTATTGAATAAAGCAGCAACAACCAATTTATGATTGAAAGTTAAAAATCTAAAAAGATGAAAATGAGGTGATTTTCCACCACCCCCCCTTTTGATTCTTTTCTCATGTATTACACCCTAACTACTATTCCCCCTACCTCTCCTTCCCCGAGTCTCTCCCCACTATCCCCACACTGCCCTTCTTCCCCAGATCCACCTCCACACACTCCTCTCCTCAGAAAAAAAAGCAGTCCTCCCAGGGACATCAACCTATTTTTGAAAAATACAGAACAATTAAGCCCCCTTTGAACAGAATACAATACAGGGAAGAAGTAATGACAGAGAGGAGAGGGAGAGGAAGAAAGAGAGGTGAGGAGAGAGGGAGTGAGGTACAGAGAAATTACTTTGGGGGCATGTCAGTAATGGAGATTGAACCTGGGCCTGATGCATCTGAGGTAAATGTTCCATGAGCTAGTTCTTATATCTTTTAATTGGTGCTCATGTCCTAGAAATTAGTTACTGTGAATTTCAGAAAATTAGTAATTACCTGATTAAGCTGATCCTTTCTGCCAACTTTTCTGTGTGCTCTTGACTGGGAGGGACATTTTCTACAAATGCAATTCCATACAGCAGAAAGTTCTGCAGAAACTTCTTCAGTCCCTCATTTGTTTCTAAGAAACTCTGGAAATCAACAGATGGAATTTGGGCTTTCAGGTAGAGTTCCGCATTCCATAATATTCTAGGTTGGATAACCTTTTGTTTCTGCCCTTCATAGCTATTTTTTACCAGCCAATCCAGATCATATCTAGTCATATGACCATCTGGCCCTTTTAAGGAGGAAAAAAAAGGCATTAAAATAAAATTTAGAAATACTTACAATTATTTGTTATTTAAAAATGTTCATTCTTTTTTCAACATTAGTTTTACATTTTAATTATATGATACTTTCATAGATGCATATATTTTGATCAAATCCACCTCCCATTCCCTCTTTTCCATTTCCTCTTGCTCAACACTTTACCCTGAGTCTACTTAGTATTACTGTACATGTACGGGCATAGGACCATGAACTTGGGCATGGGTAGTCTCTCAAATGGCCCTATTCCTGAAGAAAACTGTCTCTCCCTCCCCCAGCAGCTAACAATTGCTAATAGTTCCCCAGGTATGAATGGGACTTCATGAGTTCCTACCTCATCCATCCCTCCCCCAGCAGCTAACAATTGCTAATAGTTCCCCAGGTATTAATGGGACTTCATGAGTTCCTATCTCATCCATCCTGGGACTTTTGGCTGGCTTAATTGTGGGCAAACAGTCACAACCAGTGTGAATTCTGTGTGCAATGTCCTTGTTGTGTCAAGAAACTACTGTTTTGCTGCAATCTATTATCTCTGGCTCTTACCATCTTTCTGCCCCCCTTCATAAATGATTCCTGAGTCTTCATATATATGTGTGTGTGTACATGTGCATGTGATGTAGATGTCCTATTTGGAGTTAAGAATTCCACTTTGTTTAGATTTGTATGCTGACCAGTTGTGGGTCTCAAAGCCTTAAATTGTGTCTGTCAAAGTTTTACAATTAATGTGTATAACATTTGATGAAGAGGAATATGAAAAGATCAGCAGAAATGGAGAAAGAGAGTTTACATTTGTAAATGCTATCCAACTCTCAAAATATAAGTTTACCTAGTAATATCACGTACTCTGGAAGCACACATCTATCATGATGAGTTCTGTGAATAGTTGAACCTAGTATACATTTGGACTCTCAGTTGTGTGTGTGAGAGACAGAGAAAGATGTCCTCTAGAAGACTGCAAATTCTCCCATATTCATAGATTACAAGACAAAGCTGAAGGGTTTCAGCTAAGCACTTTAATATGCTGACATAGCTGAAGGATTGACCAAAAGAATGAACACTTTAGCCCATTGCTTCTCTTCCATTAAACAATCACTGTAAAATAGTTTACCTAGTAGGCACTTTAGTTTTTACTTGATAGCCTATACTGGGTGAGACAAGCTTTGTTCCCTCTGCTATAGAGTAACACTAAACTCTTTTTAATGGTTTTTTACTATGTATTTTAGGAAGCTTCCACAGTAATCAATTTCCACATGGCTTTTGTCAAATGTCAGTTATCTCTGTAAATGACATTTACCCTGCTCTCCTATCCGCCAATTCCATTTAAGCCTTTCTGTTCTTCTGTTCCCCTTTCTCCCTTCATACTACCTGATATCTATCACACACACCCTTGAAATTCTCCACTCTCATGTCCCTTTACTAGTTTTTTGACTTCTCTGGCACTCCAATGTCTAAACATGTCTAAACATTCAAAGCATCCTCACAATGAGAATATTCAGTGTTTGTCTTTCTGAGTCTGAGTTACCTGTCAGAACGATAATTTCTAGCTTCATCCATCCACCAGTTTTTACTTTTCTTTACAACTGAATAATATTCTTTTGTACATATATTCCACATTTTAATTATCATATATTAGCTGATAGATTCTAGTCTGTTTCCATCTCCTAGCTATATTGATACGTGCATGTTGAGTGCAGCTGCCCTTGGAAGTCAGCGGCATTGGATCTTCTGGAGCTTGAGTTATAGGCTGTTGTAAACTTAAATTCACCTAAAGTAAATTTACTTGTAAACTTAAAAAAAAACTTAAAATGAATTCTATTCAAGAGCAGCTTGTGATCTTAACAACTGACATACCTCTCCAGCTCCAATATGTCTATTTATATACTAGTAACATGTTTTTAGTACTGTAGCTCTGTACTATAAATTGATAATCACGGATGGTGATAAATCTAGCAGTGTTTTTATTCTTTAGGATTATTTTGGCTGTCCTAGATCTTTTGTGCTTCTGTATGATTACTGACATTTATCATTCAATTTTTGTGAAGAATGGCACTGGAATTTTGATGGGGTTGTATGGAATATGTAGATTGCTTTTGATAGGATGGCCATTTCACAATATCAATCCATAAGCCCAAGACATCTTTCCATCTTCTAGTATCTATTTCTTTTCCTTTTTCAAGTGTCTTGATGTTTTCATTATATAAGTCTTCCTTGGTCAGATGTAGTATAGAGGATGGCTACTTTTTAATTTTGTACTATGCAACTTAGCTGAATGTGTTTATTAGCTGTAGGAGTTTTCTTTTGGAACCTTTAAGATCTTTTATGCATATCACCTCATATCCTATCCTATCATATGCAAATAAGGATGTTTGAATTCTTTTACTAGTTGTATCCACTTTTTCTTCTTATTTTGTTGTTCTAGCTAAGACTTTAAGTTCTATATTAAACAGGAGTCAAGAGAGTGGGCATCTTTGTCTTGTTTTTTATTTTAGTCGAAAAACTTGGAGGTTTGTTTGTTTATGTATTTATTTTGGTCAGTGTGATGCTGGCTTTTAACTTGTGTATTTCCTTTATTAATTTGAGATACATCCCTTGAATTATGACCCTCTCTAGGACCTTTATCATGAATAGATGTTGTATTTCTCTCAAAGTTCTTTTCTGCATCTAATAAAATGATCATGTGGTTTCTGTCCCTGAATCTATTCCTATGGCAAATTACATTTACTGACTTATGTATGCTGAAACATACCTGCGTGTCTGGGATGAAACCCACTTGATCATGATGGATGATCATTTCTTATGCTCTTAAATTCATTTCACAAGTATTTTTTTGAGAATTTTTGTATCCGTGTTCATCAGAGGGATTGGTCTATAAATTTTTGGATTTTTTTATTTCCTTTTTTTAATGGATGCATAGTATTACATTGTGTAAAATGTAACATACATTCTTCATCCATTCTTCGGTTGAGGGACATCTAGGTTGTTTCCAGTTTCTGACTATTACAAATAAAGCTGCTATGAACATGGCTGAGCAAAAGTCTTTGTTCTATGGTAGAGCATCTTTCCAGTGTATGCCCAGGAGTGGTATAGCTGAGTCTTGGGGTATGTCTATTCCCAGTTTTCTGAGAAAGCACCAGACTGATTTCCAAAGTGGTTGTACAAGTTCACATTTCCACCAGCAATGGAGAAGGGTTCCCTTTTCTCCACATCCCCTCCAGCAAGTGTTGTCACTTGAATTTTTGATCTTAGCCATTCTGATGTGTGTAAGGTGAAATCTCAGGGTTGTTTTGATTTGCATCTCCCTGATGACTAAGGATGTTGAGCATTTCTTTAAGTGTTGCTCGGTCATTCTATATTCCTCTGTTGAGAATTCTCTGTTTAGCTCTGTATCCTATTTTTTTTAAACTTCCCAGAGACTCATACTCCAACCAAGTACATGCATGGAGATAACCTAGAACCCCTGCACAGATGTAGCCCATGGCAGCTTAGTGTCCAAGTGGGTTACATACTAATGGGAAGAAGGACTGCCTCTGACATAATCTGATTGGCCTGCTCTTTGATCACCTCCCCCCGAGGGGGGAACAGCCTTACCAGGTCACAGAAGATGACAATGCAGCCACTCCTGATGAGATCTGATAGACTAAGATCAGAAGGAAGGAGAGGAGGACCTCGCCTATCAGTGGACTTGGGGAGGGGCATGCGTGAAGAAAGGGGTGGGTTGGGAGGTGAAGAGGGAGGGGCTTATGGGGGGATACAAAGTGAATAAAGTATAATTAATAAAAATAAAAAATAAATAAAAGAGAAAGTTCCCAACAAGGAACAAGAGTAAATTTAAAAAAAAAATAGTTTGAACCAGGGTTGAATCATATATATTGTAAATGTAACTTTGAATTTTTATAAAATCCATACCAATTTAAAAAAATTGGATCTTTATCTGGCTTGGTTTTCAGTTTTTAGTGGTTTCATAAAAATAATCTGGAAATGTTCCTTCCATTCAATTATTTGAAGAGTATTGGTGTTCTTTGAAGGTCTGGTAGAGTTTGTCCTGAATTCATCTGTTCCTAGACTGCTTTTTTTAATAGTTGGGATATTTTTAATGACAGTCTTTATTTTAATTGCTTGTTATAGGTCTGTTTAAATTGTTTATTTCATGTAAATTTAAGTTTGGAAGTTATATGCATTTAGAAATTAATCTATTTCTTTTAGATTTTCCAAATTTCTGGAATATAAAGGAACTTTTGTTTGTTTGCTTGTTTATTTTTGAGACAGAATTTCTCTGTGTAGTCTGGGCTATCTTGGACTCACTTGGTAGACCAGGCTGATCTTGAACTCAGAGATCCCCCTGCCTCTCCTTCTCCAAGTGCTGGGATTACAGGTGTGCACCACTGAGCTCAGCTGAATATAAGTTTTATACTATATCCTTATGATTCTCTAAATTTTCCCAGTCTTTGATGTATTATCTCCTTTTTAATTATCCCTACTCCTATTAATTTATGGCTCATCTCTCTTTTAGCTGATTTGGTTAAAGATTTGTTAAATGTTAATCTTTAAAAAAAAAAAAACAACTCTTTGTTTCATTGATTCTATTTTTTTTTTTCTGCTTCTATTTCATCCATGATTTTGCTTATCACTTCTTATCTACTATTTTGGGGTGTAGTTTCATTTTGTTTTTCCAAGGTTTGAAGTGCATAATTAAATTATTAATTTGAGATCCCTAAATTTTTTGACGTAAGCACTAAGTGCTGTAAACTTTCTTCTTAGAATTGCCTTCATTGTGTCTCAAGACTTTGTTATATTGTATTTTCACTTTCATTCAGTTCTAGGGATTTTAACATTTCCTGCTTGATTTTTCCTTTACCCAGTTATCATTCAGTAGAGTTGTGTTGTTTAGTCTCCATGATTTTGTGAACTTTCTGTAGTTTCTGTTGCTCTTGATATCTACCTTTATTCCACTGTGGTTTAATTTTCCTGTATTTGTTGAGACTTACTTTGTATCCTAGTAAATACAGTTTTGGAGAGAGTTGCATGGGCTGCTGAAAAGAAGATATACTCTTTAGTGTTTGATTGGAATGTTTTGTAAAGTCTGTTCTTTTTGATTTTATGTTTATTTTATGACAATTAGCTGCAGAGTTTCTCCCTCCCTCTCTTTCTTTCTTTCTTTCTTTCTTTCTTTCTTTCTTTCTTTCTTTCCTTCCTTCCTTCCTTCCTTCCTTCCTTCCTTCCTTCCTTCCTTTCTCTTTCTCTCTTTCTCTTTCTCTCTTTCTTTCTTTCTTTCTTTCTTTCTTTCTTTCTTTCTTTCTTTCTTTCTTCCTTCCTTCCTTCCTTTCTTTCTTTCTTTCTTTTTCATTTGACCTGTCTATTTGTGAGTGAAGTATTAAAGTCATCTTCTATCACTGTGTTGATTTAATTTGTGGTTGCAGGTTTAACAGTAGTTTTATATGGTTTTCTTCTATTATTTATGCTTTGGCTATGTATTTTTCTGTGACCATAATTCAAAGGTTAGGGTTTTTTAAATGGTATTCTAGAGCTTTCCCAGTTTCTGATTACATATATGTATTTGTATATGTATGTATGATTACATATATGTATGTATATTTGTACATATGTATAAAATATATATTTATTATGTGTATAAATGTTTTGTCAACATGAAAGCAAGTGTTCTCTCTCTCTCTCTCTCTCTCTCTCTCTCTCTGTGTGTGTGTGTGTGTGTGTATGCTTGGTGCCCACAGAGGACAAAATAGGGCTCTGGAGTCCCCAGAACTGGAGTTACAGATGGTTGGAAGCAGGCATATGGGTGCTTAGAACCAAATTACATCCTCTGCAAAATCAGCAACTGCTCTTACATACTGATCCATCTCTCCAGGCCACATTCTTAGATATTTTTTAAAATTCCTTTTATTTTTTATTATGATATATTTATATCCTTTCCTTACTCCAAACCTTTCAACACATTAACACCCCCCCCAACACATACACAAATTTAAGGCCTCTTTTTCATTAATTGTTTTTGTATGTGTTTTTCTCTACATACATAAATATAACATGCTTAGTCTGTATAGTGTTACTTGTATGTATGTTTTCAGGGCTGACGATTTGGTATAAATGGTATAAACAGTTGGTGTACTCTGTGGTGAAGATTACTTCTCCCACTTTCACCACTCCTTAGTTGCCTGTAGTTCTTTGTGTAGGGTTAAGGCCTCCTGGGCTTTTCCTTCATCCATATCAACTTATCTATTGCTGTTCTTGTTTAGCTCATGTTTAGGCAGCCATGTTGGTGAGACTTTATGGATGTAGCTTTTGACATTACTGGGAGACAGAAGCTTACAGCAAACTCCCTGTCCCTCTAGTTCTTACCTATTAATATATATATTTTAAAACTTCTCATTGCTAAGATCAAAAACTCCGGCACTGGAGTAGTTGTGGAGAAAGGGGAACACTCCTCCACTGATGGTGGGAATGTAAACTTATACAACCATTTTGGAAATCAATCTTGTTTTCTCAGACAATTAGGAATTATCAAGATCCAGCTATACCACTCCTCAAGATCCAGCTATACCACTCCTAGGCATATATCCAAAAGATGCTCAAGTACACAACAAGGACATTTGCTTAACCGTGTTTGTAGCAGCTTTATTCGTAATAGCCTGAACCTGGAAACAACCCAGATGTCCCTTAACTGAGGAATGGATACAGGAATTGTGGTATTTTTACACAATGGAACACTACTCAGCAATTTAAAACAAGGAAATCATGAAATTTGCAGGCAAATGGTGAGATCTAGAAAAGATCATCCTGAGTGATGCATCCCAGGAGCAGAAAGACACACACGGTATATACTCACTTATAAGTGGGTACTAGACCTATAAGATAAGATAAACATACTAAAATCTGTACACTTAAAGAAGATAAACAAGAAAGAGGACTCATGGTAAGATGATCAATCCTCACTTAGAAAGACAAATGGGATGGACATTGAAAGTAGGAGAAAACAAGTAACAGGACAGGACCCTACCACAGAGGGCCTCTGAAAGACTCTACCTAGCAGTATATCAAAGCAGATGTTGAGACTCATAACCAAATCTTGGGCAGAACGCAGGGAATCATGAAAGAAGGGGGAGTTAGTATGAACTGGAGAGGACAGGAGCTCCACAAGGACCAAATATATCTGGGCACAGGGGTCTTTCAAGGACCATGCATGGATATTACCTAGAACCCCTGCTTGGATATATCCCATGGCAGCTCAGTATCCAAGTGGGTACCCTAGTAAGAAAAACAGGGACTGTTTCTGACATGAACTCAATGGCTGGCTCTTTGACCACCCCCCTCCCGGAGGGAAGAACAGCCTTGCTAGGCCACAGAGGAAGACACTGCAGCCAGTCCTGAAGAGACCTGATAAGCTAGGGTCAGATGGAAGGGGAGGAGCACCTCCCTTATCAGTGTACTTGGAAAGGGGCAGGGAGGAGATGATGAGGGAGGGAGGGTGGGATTGGGAGGGAATAAAGGAGGGAGCTACAGCTGGCATACAAAGTTAATAAACTGTAACTAAAATAAGAAAATTAAAAAAATTAATTAAAAAAAACTTCTCACTGACTTTTACTGAGTAATCTAATTTCTCTAATTTTTCTTCCATCCCTGAGTCTTTTGTTTTCTACATGATCTATTCTGTTGGCGGGGTTTTCCACTGAGATTTTTGACTTTTTGAAATTTTATTTCTACCATCATTTCACCCTGGCTTTTTCATCAATTTTTTTTGTTATATTATGTTTTTGTATATTGGGTTGACTTCTGAATTTCATTCATGTCTTTGAGTTGTTTGAACATAGCTATAACTATTCTTTTATGTTCTTTGTCTGGAAGTTTTTTGAGGTCACTTACATTTAGGTGTCATCATTATATGATTGTCAATTTGTGGAGGAGACATGCTGTCTTGTCTTTTGGTGTGCGTTTATTTTTTTTTCTCCTATTCTGGGACTTGCACATCTTGAATAATTTATTGGTTGTTTTTCCTTTCTACCTTTATGCCTTTCTTTTTAAACTTCTCTTTCTCCTTTAGTATGGAAATGTATAATGTTCACGAGAAGGTTAGAGATGATAATTTTCTTCTGTGGGCTTGCAGAAGAAGTTTTGCAGTGGTAGGCCCAAGTAGGCTAAGCTAGATCCTCTTCTTTCTGAAAGAAGCTTGTGCTGGTTGTACTTCTGGAGCAAAATTCCTGGGAGCTACAGGTGGGTGTGATGCAGAAGCCCATGATCCTTGCCTGAAGGGTGGCTCCTGGATATACAGGTAGACCTAAGCAGGGGAGGCCCAGGTTTTTTCCTTAGTGCAAGAGGTACCTGGACAATATGGGTGGGGCTAAGTAGGAAAAACCTGGTACCCTTCTTGCTATAGGGAATATGTAGCCTGGGATCCTGGTAATCTGGTACAGGAGGCAGTGACTGGTACCTATAACATGCTTTTCAGGAAGTGCAGGAGGACGTCAGCAGGGGTAGTGGTATTCAGGAAGCCATTCAATCTGGTCTCCTGGTACAGGAGTTTCCCAGGGAGGTATGAGTATGTCTAAGCAAGGGAAGTAAGATCTCCTACTTTCTGCTGAGCATGTTGATTCTTATACCTGCAACTAAAGCACTCAGGATGCTGAGGCAGGAGAATCACTAGTTTGAGGCCAGTCTGATCTACGTAGTAAATTTAAGGACAGACACTGATATGTTACAGGACCTTGTCTCAAAAAGAAAACACAAAGCAAAGCAAAGCAAAGCAAAGCAAAACAAAACAAAGAGTGGTAAAGGCAGACATTGTTGCAATGTTTTAGGTTAGAGATTATCCTGTCTCAAATTAAGTATGGTGCTAGGTGTAACATAACAAAATTAAACGGTTACTGAAACTGCTCCCAAAGCAAGGGGGAAAACTAACAGAAAAATTCCCTACATTAGAAAGAGCAAACCATTTTTAAATAAAATTATTGTTCTTTAGAAGGATATCCAAGTCTCCTGTACACTTACAAGTGAGAGAGAGTGTGGTTTCATCCAGACAAATGGTCTGTGGCTTGATACATAAATCCACACTGGCAGTGTCCAGGCTCCGCTGGTGAGTCTTAGAATTATAGCATGATGCTGAGCGGCAGTGGTCTCGAAGCCAGACATAATCAAACCGCATTACAGTGCTAGCATATTGCAGTTCTAGGGAAGAGAACAGATTTAACAAATACTTGTTTAAGAAAACTAAACACCAAAAGTCAAAAACATTTTTTTTTCTAGAAGCCTTTTACTAACAAAAAAGTACGAATAACAAAGGATAGCCCTTTGTCAATTGTTAAAAATACTATAAAATTTCTATGATAGAAACACTACGATTTTGGTATATAGAACACATAATAGTATGAAAAGCTCAGATATATACCTGAGAGTGAACAAGCTATTTTTGAACTCTTCAAGAAATTCTATTGTTATGTTGAAGTTACAAATAATTAGAATCAACAGAAAGTAAGTGACTTTCCTACACAACACTTTACTTATTTAGAGAGAGTAAAAATGAAGTAAAATTTATATAAGCAACGAAACTATATGTCTGGAAATAAAATGTAGAGAAGCAATATGAAGAAATTTCTAATACTATTCTAGAAGACTTGAAGAAAACCAACATGTAGAAATATCATGTTCACAGATAAGCAATCTCAAAACTAGAAAGAAACAAATTCTTCTAGAAATTAATGTACACATTTCATGTAATGCTAATCTATATCTTAGATATTTTCATATATTAGAAAAGGTAATTCTAAAACTCACATTGAAAAATGATAAAGTTTAACAATTTTGTAAAAGAAGGTATGAGATACCAGCTATAAAAGTACATTATAAAATTCTAGTTTTAAATATATTAGTACAGAATAGATCAAGAAAAAAGAATGGTATTTCCAACTAGACCCATAAGTACATGGAAATATGGTATATGAAAAAGGTGTCATTTTAAAACAGCAGAAGAAAAATTGAGTTCTCTATAAATGACATTGGAAAAATTGTATGGGAACAGAAAATTCTTAATATTGTTTTAAAAGTCAATTTCTGATAGGCTAAAACATACACAGAGAAAACTTTAAATTTTTTAAGAAATTGCAAAAGATACCAGAAAATGGAAAGATTCCCCCATGTTCATGGATTAGTAAACTCAATATTGTGAAACTGACCATTGTAACAAAACCAATTCATTGATTCAATACAATTCCAATAAGAATCCCACAACAGTCTTAATAAAAATAGGAAAAACTTCCTAAAATTCATGTGGAACCATTTAAGATCCCAGATAGTCAAAGCAATCCTGAGCAAAAAGAACAATACTGGAAGGATTTCCATTCCAAATCCTCTCTCTCTCTCTCTCTCTCTCTCTCTCTCTCTCTCTCTCTTTCTTTCTTTCTCACACATACCACACGTAATAAACACAACAAAGATACACACACACACACACACAAACACACGACATATAGACCAATGGAACAAAAAAGAAGACTCCAACATGAATACATGTAACAACAGCCATCTGATATTTGACAAAGAGGTAAAAATCACACTCTTCAGAAAAGACAGCATCTTCAATAAAATGGTGCTGGAAAAACTAGGTGACCACTGTAGAAGAATGACATTAGACCCATATCTATCACTCTGCACATAATCTAACTCCAAGTGTATCAAAGACCTCAATATGAAACCTGAAACACTGAAATTGCTAGAAGAAAACTTAGATAGTACCCTACAAAATATAGGTGTAGGAAAGGAATTTTTAGATAAGACTCCATTTGCCCAGGAATTAAGGTCAACAATAGACAAGGAAGTTTTATGAGGAAAAGAAGTCCTAAAATTCATATGGAACCATAAAAGATCCCAGACAGTCAAAGCAATCCTGAGCAAAAGGAACAATACTGGCAGGATTACCATTCTAGAACTCTCTTTCTCTCTCTCTCTCTCTCTCTCTCTCTCTCTCTCTCTCTCTCTCTGTGTCTCTTTCTGTCTCTCTCTGTCTCTGTCTCTTTCTCTCTCACACATACCACACATAATACATACAACAAAGACTCATACACACATGCACACAAACATACACTCACACCATATAAAACTCATCAAAATAAAAACGTTCTGTATAACCAAAGAAATAATTAATCAAATAAAGAAAAATCACACTGAATGAGGGAGAATTTTTGCCACCTATACATCTCACAGAGGATTAATACCCAGAATATGGAAAGAACTGAAAAAGTCAAGAAAATAAAGAACCCAAGTTAAAAAAAAATGGGTCATGGATATGAACAGAGAAGATTTTTTTCAGGGTTATATTTATATATGTGTGCATACACATACATAAATAGGTATGTTATGTAATAGTAATAATGAAATTCTCAATTTGAGAATGGGGGACAAGACAGGAGTTGGAGGGAAGACCCCTAGGAGTACCTGAAGGGAGAAAAGAGGAGGGGAAAATGAGACAATCTATTTTAATTAAAATGTATTAAAATTAAATAATGAAAATATGGGAAGCCAAAGTTCTTTCTCAAGCTGTGGATAGCTGCTTGTCTGTCAAGCTTGCTTTGTTTTAGATTATTCAGTGAAAAATATGTTTTAGCCTTTACCTTGAAACAGAAATAAGCAGGAGTTTTTGCCAAGTTTCTTTAACTTGTCTGTGAGACTTTGGACGGTGTCTCCCATACAGGAATGTGGTCTTTGAAAACAAGCTTAACTGTTTCATGAACACTGTCCTTGGACCAAGGTGAACTGTGTTTGAATTGTCGTTAAAAAGGAATTGGAAAATAAACTCGAGGCTTTTTTCAGTACTGACTGAAAGCCCTCTCCAATCGATCTTAATTTTTCTGTCTCTTTCTCTTGACCTTTCTCTTTCTCAATCCCCACTCTCTCTGTTGTGATCCCAATTACCTACGGCAGGTTCTGTCATGAAAAGCTTTGAAAAACAATACATCTTTTGGTGAAGAAGTACAAAGCCCACTCCAATGAGCTTGAAGTTATAAGAACTAAGTAAAGAGACAGAGAGAGAGAGAATGAGAGAAAGAGCGCACAAGAACCCAGTCTTTCCTAGTAGAGTAGAGGAAAGCTGCTGGGCTCTGAGCATGGCATACTTCTGCACTTTCTTTCTCACTTTGTCTCCCCACATCTTGACTCCCCAATACTCCTAGTTTCTGTTTTCTAGCCTTTCCCCTATTGATTGAAAATAGATTTTTTTTCCACATAATATATCCTGATTATGCTTACCTCTTGCACTACTCCCCCCAGTTCCTCCACACCATCACTCCCATCCAGATCTATTCCCTTTCTCTCATTAGAAAACAAACAGGCTTGTAAGGGATAATAATAATAAATAAAATGATTAAAAACAAAGACTAACACATCAGAATAGGACAAAACAAACAGAAGGAAAAGAGTCCAAGAAAAGGCACAATAAATGGATATAGACAAAGAGACCCATTTGTTTCTACACTCAGAAATCCCATAAAAACATTAAACTGGAAGCCATTTTATACATACACACACACACACACACACACACACACACACGCACGCACGCACACAAATGACCTGTAGCGTAAAAATAGAGAAGAAAATATACATACATATATAATATTAAATAAAAATAAAAGATAACTTTTTCTAAAAAAGGAAATACCTTGACATCACTTTATGAGACAAATAACCTCCAAAGATGCCATTGAGGTCATTTTCTGTTGGCCATCTAATGCTGGGCATGTAGCCTATGCTTGCGTATTCTGTTTCCCCAGTAAGACTCCCTTGGAGAAAACTAATTTCTTATTTGTAAGTGGTTATCAATTGGAAACTGCTTTGAGGTTAGGAATAGGGGGCATGTGTCCACTTCTCCTTTCAGTCGTAGGCCTTCATCTGGTGTAGCTACATGCAGCCCTGTGCATGCTGCTGCATTCTCTGTGACTTCATATATGTGTCAGTGTTGTTGATTTAGAAGGCCTTATTTGTTGCCTTGGTGTCCTTCATCTCCTCTGGCTGTTACACTATTGCTCTCTCCTCTTCTCCAAGGAAGCCATGGTGCAGACCCATGCAGGATCTGTGCTGTCTCAGTCTTTTTGAGTTCATATGTGTTTGGATCATGTTGATTTAGAGGGACTTGTTTTCTTGCTATCCTCCATCCCCTCTGGCTCTTAAATTCTTTCTGCCTCCTCTTCCACAGGATTCTTTGAACCATGAGGGAAGATATTTGATAGAGAGATCTCATTTAGAGCTGAGTGTTCCAAGGTCTCTCACACTCTGTATAATGTCTAACAGGTGGTCTCTGTATTTGTTTCCATTTTCTGCAAGACTAAGCTTTTCTGATGATGACTGAGCAAGGTGCAGAATGTAGCAGAATGTCATTAGGAGTCATTTTATTGCTACATTCTTTCAGTAGAACAGTAATGTTTGGTTTTACCCCAGGGCCCTGGACTATCTAGTCTCTGATTTTTGATCACCCAAGCAGTGTTGGCTATGGGTTCCATCTTGTGGAATGGACCTTAAGTCAAATCAGATATTGGTTGGTTACTCTCACAAGCTTTGGGCCCCAATTGCATTAGAATATCTTGCAGGCAGGACACCATTGTAGGTCAAAAGGTAAACAGAGAGTTTTGGGAAAAAATGGTTAAGAAATATCTCGAACAGTATTCACCTTTTCGAGCAATTAGGGAAATTAAAATTAAATTAACTTTGGCATTTCATCTTACTGGGTCAGAATTGCAAAGGACAACAAAACAACCAACAACAATTGCTGGTGAGGACACAGGGAAAGGGAAAATCTCATTCACTGTTGGTAGAATTGCAAACTACTGCAGCCACTCTGGAAATCAGTATAGATAATTCTCAAAATGTAAAAAAAAAAAAAAAAACCTACCATATGATCCAATTATACACTTATCACTGCTAAGCCATAACCTTTCCTTTCTTGTTCATCCCCAATACACATTAATATAAACAGTTCAAATTTTAAAAGTTTCACAAACTTTAAAAAATTAAACACTTAAAATTTCGGTCTCTAAAATATCCAGTTACTTTTCTAATCCAAAGTCTCTGTAAAATTCCAAATTTGTGGGGCTCGAGGATGAGATGTGTCCAAACCCCAAAAATTTCATCTTGAGACTGGCAGGAGTAGGACTGTCCCCTCCCTTCCCTCGGCCTGCATGTTCTGGTATGTATCGCCTTACCACTCCCACCTCTGCTACTCTTGAGGTGGTTAAATAGCCTGGTGGCCAGATTTCAGGTTAAACTTCTTCTTCTCTCCTTGTGAGAACATGTCCAGCAAGCACCTAAAATTCATATTCATACAAATGAAGAATTCTCAGCACCTCAGCCCCAGTCAATGACGTACACTCACCCCCAAAATCCCTACTAAACTGCAACAGTATAAATAATTCATTCCAATGCCTGGGATCCACTCATGATCTTCTGGCCTTCTCCAAAGGGCTTGGGGTCACTTTTCCAGCTCTTCTCTCTGCAGCACATATAGCTGTATTTCTAGGCTCTGGCTGGCTCCACTCCACCACTGCTGCTTTTGGTGATGGTCACCTCATGGTAGTGGCATATCAAAAATGCTGGTGTCTCTTGCTGAAACTGGCTTGCATTTTCACCAGCAACCTCTCTTGGGCTCTCCCCAGAGCTGCCGTACAGTGCCAGGCCTCAGCTACTCTCCATGACCCTCTCCTACTCCCCATGGCTTCAAAATCAGTACCATCTTGGTGGCTCTTACACTACCAAGTTTAGCTGCCATCACAAGGTAAAACCTTGGCCTCCTCTGGAACACAGCTTCCATGTGTGGATCCTGTGATCACACTTCCCAGAAGACTTAACTTCAATGACACTGGTCTTTTCTTAATCATAACTGATTCTTCGGCCTCAACTGACCATCATCTATTGTCCCAGAAAAGCAAAGATTTTACTTTAGTGGATTTGGGCTCTTGTTACTCACAGCTGATTCTTCAGCTGCAGCTGACCAAACATCACAGTTTCTTTACACAAATGGCCTGAGAATCTTTGCTTCTCTCTGAAACTTGACAAGCCAGGACTCCATTATCTATACTGCCCTCAACATTCTTAACTTCCAAGCTTCTGCAGAATAGCCTACTGTGCTCTCAAACTCAATGACTTTTCTAACACAAAGTTCCAAAGTCCTTTTACAATCCTCCCAAAGACTACATGGTCAGGTCTGTCACCAGCAATATTTCATTCTTGGTTTCAATTTTTGTCTTAGGGTTATCATGGTTGTGAGGGAACACCATGACCTAAGCAACTTGGGAAGGAAACGGTTTATTTGGCTTACTTCTACTGTTCATCATTAAAGGACATCAGAACAGAATCTCAAACAGAGCAGTAAGTTGGAAACAGGAGCTGGTGCAGAGGCCATGGAGGGGTGCTTCTTTACTGGTTTGCTCCCCATGGCTTGCTCAGCCTACTTTCTTATAGAATCCAGGACCACAGGATCACCAAAGGGCTGGGCCCTCCACCATTAATCATTAATTAAGAAAATGACCTTCAGGCTTGGCTATGGCCTGATCTTATGAAAGCATTTTCTCAATTAAGGTTCCCTCCTCTCTGATTATTCTACCTTGTGACAAGTTGACATAAAGCTAGTCATCACAGTTAGCTAGGCCCTCACCGCCTCCAACTTTGGCTTCTCATCTTCATCATAGCTAACTTCCTAAGGCATGGGTCTGTAATCCTAGCACTCAGGCAGCTGAGATAGGAGGATCTTGAGTTTGAGGCCAATACAGGCTACATAATAAGTACTAGATAATCTTGGACTTCAAAGTATAGAATCAAAGAAGAGAAAATGTCTTTAAAATGATAGCCAGACAGACAGACAGACAAACAGACAGACAGACAACTAAGAAAATCTTGCCATTTGCCACAATGTGTGGAGCCATAAAATGGCTGCTTGATTCTAGTCTGCTTCAAATCCATGAAGCACAGTGTGCTTAGCACGGCATGGTGATTTTTTCACCCCTGGACCAGAGGTGTTCTTTGTTCTTTAGACGTTTGCTCAACTGTTTAGATTTGGCAGGTATAGCTTGGGAACTTTCCTCCTGCTTACCTGAGAACTTTCCTCCCACTTTGAGAACATTCTGCTTTGCTGCTTTCACTGAAACTAGTTCCTGAAACTAGTTCCTCCCCCCGAATTGCCCATTCTTACCCCTTATAAGCTGAAACCTAAAGAGCATTAAACAAGACTTGATTAGAATACTGTCTTGTCTCCATTCTTATTGTCTCTTGTTCCATCCCATTCCCACTCCTTGCTCCAGGGTCCATGCTGACAGTCCTGTGGGTCAGGACACCACAACATAAATGGCTCTGCAGGACATATTGCTTAATGAAATAAATCAAATACAGAACAGAAAATATGGTATTATTTCACATATATATATGGAAAATTAAAAAAAATCAACTATACAGAGATAGAGAATAAAGTAGTAGTTACTGGGAAAAAGACAACTGGGAGGAAATATAAAATATAGATCATAAGATACAAAGTAGCAGAGTAGTAAGATGATGAAGACTATAAATCTAATGTACAATGTGGAGGGTATAGTTAACTATACTTTGTATAGTTAATAATAGTGTACTGTAGTTGGAATTTTTTTATATGAGACTATTATAGCTGTGCTTGTACACAAAATAACTGTTTGAGAGAATAAAATGTTAATTTTATTAATAAACAATCATTTTTTGTCTACATGCATCTCAATATCATGTTATATACATTAAATATACACAATAAAATTTATTTTAAAAATAAACATTTATTCAAGAAAAATATTGAATTTTAAGTAATAAAAGTAGGAACATGTGGTCTGTTTTAAACATTCCTTATTCTGACTCTAGCTCTACTATCAGTATTTCTATAAGAGTAGACAAGAAAACCAGCAACTATGCTGTTAAAGTGAACTAACTTGATTTGGAAAAGAGTTCAGAGAAGCCCACTCCCTGGGTTTTGTGTAGGCAAGCAATACACTAAAAGAAATCTAACAAGATGATCCAGTGAATGAGATAATTAAAGGGTCTTGAAAAGCTCCAACAAGCATTTTGTGTTTGGAAAGATGGACACTTAGGCTAGGCTGTGTGCCCACTGAGGAGAGATGGATAATTGCAAGGGTTTTGTACTTGTCCCTGGAAGAAAATTAAGCCTCATGCAGGTATAAAGACATGAGAAAATGAGAAAGTAAAAATCACTGTAGACCTTTATACAGTATTAATATTATTGTGACCCAATTCACATGCATATCTATTGACAGAAGGTATAAACATTGATGGTTCAATGTTTCTTTTTATAATTTATTCACGTTATATCCCAATTGTAGCCCCCTCCCTTGTCTCCTCCCAGTCCCACCTTCCCTCAGTCTTACCCCTGATCCCCTTCCCCTAGTCATCAGAGTTTAAGGTTTTTATGAAAAACTTTTGAATAATAGTTGGGATGGTCTATAGGCTATTTCAAGAATTCTCAATCTCAGAACTATGGTACATAAACTAAAACAGTTTAGTTCCTTCTGATTGCTCATTTTTACTATAATATAGTAAAAGCCACATGTGACAAAAAAAATGTTTTTCCATAGAGGCATATGAAGAACAACAACTGTAAACTCATTCTTATCCACTACACCTAGGATAAACACAGAAACACATTCCAAGAACAACTGCATGTTTTTGAACAGAGGTCCAAAGATTCTTGTTTTCTTGGAGTTTTCTCACAAGCATTCAGAATTCCCCTCACATAACTCCATCCTTGGACTGTGATGACACTATCCAGTTTGAAATTTTTCCAGAAGCCTTAGAAATCAATACAAGGGGTAAAGCACTGTCTACCCTTTACCTTGTAATACTTTCTGTGGTTGTAATATTCCTGGTCTATAGCTTTAAACACTTTCCCATGGAGGTTGAGGCTTTCATTTTTTTCTTAGATGATACAGGGTAAGGAGTCTGGCTGGAGCACTGCAAAGTTATCCCTAACTAAATTGGGATTTTAATGATCCCTTGTGTTTTGTCTTCCTTATGATTTCTACACTAGTCTTGGAGATAAGTCTACGGATACCATTTCACCTCTACTGAAAGCATGTTCAGACTATACAAAAGTATTTTTTGTTGTACAGCAAAATGAATGTATTTAATACTATTGTTCTGTATATTTAAATGGTTAATACGGTATATTTTATGCCATTTATTTTAACCACAAATAAAAAATAATAAGATTTCCTCACACATCTCTTACCCAAATGATCTTCATGTTGCTGCCAAGCACAATTCACAGACTTGGAAGCTGTATGGCACCAATGGATAGATAACGAAAATAAACTTCTAAAGTTGGACAGATGAAGAACATGACCTATGTCTCCTCTCTTCATCAAATTCTGGAGCCTGCTTTGTACGTACAATAATTTATGGCACCACATCCTAGAAGACAAGAGCGAGTAACAATATAACACATTTTTTATGAAGCCATAAGGATAATGCTACAACTATAAATATAAGTATTGTAAACCAACAATCATTTGACAAACCAGATAATCTGAAAAATGTAGTTATAAATTATCTTGTGGTATGGGAAGAGAGGGAGAAAGCCATGTGTATTAGTTAGGGTTCTCTATAGTCACAGAACTTATGGAACGAATCTCTCCATAAACACACACACACACACACACACACACACACACACACACACACACACACACGGGTAAGGAGTTTGGCTGGAGCACTGGAGTATTATCCCTAACTAAGTTGAGATTTTAATGTTGACTAGTGTTTTGTCTTGTCTTTCTTATGATTTCTATAGTAGTCTTGAAGATAAGTATACGAATACCATTATATATATATAATATATATTGGTATATATATTATATATATTATATAATATATTATTATATATTATGTAAAATATATAATTTTATATATTTTACATAATATATAATATATTGTTGCATTGTAATATAATATATGGAAGAAGAGAGGGGTGGGGAAAGAAGGACATGGAGGGGACAGAAGAACCACAAGGAGACTAACAAAACTAAAGGATCTGAGCTCAGGGGGTCCTGCAGAGACTGATGTACCAATGGAGGACCATGCGTGGAGAGGACCTAGACTCCTTGCTCAGATGTGGCCTATTGGGAGCTCAGTCTCCATGTGGATCACTGTGTGAGGGGATCAGGGGTTGCCTCTGCCATGAAATCAGTTGACTGCTCTCTGATCACTTGCCCCTGATCATACAGCCTTGCCAGGCCACAGAGGAAGAGGATCCAGGCAGTCCTGATGAGACTTAACAAGTTATGGGCAGATGGCAATAGTGGAGAACTCCCCCTTTCAGTGGACTAGGGGAAGGGAATGCAGGGAAGAGGGAGGGAGGGTGGGACTGGGGGAGTTGAGGGAGGGAGCTTCAGTTGGAATATATAATGAATAAATTGTAAAGAAAAAAATAAAACTTAAATAAAATAAATAAATAAAAGAGTGATTTTATGTTGTGGGATGTATTTGAGTAAAAATTGAGTATTGGACTTTTTTAAGCACTAGAAAATATTTTAAACTTCACAGATCACATATTAACTGCATCTATATTTAAAATGTTTTCAACTTTTTAAAAATATGAAATCCATTCCTCATTTATGGGACCCTTCATATATGTATATATGTTACATATAATATGTAAGTATATTATACATATAAAATATAATATTTTATAATAATATATTATATATAATATATCTATGATGGGTCCCATTTTAAATATGGTAAAGGCAATATACAGCAAGCCTATAGCCAACATCAAACTAAATGGAGAGAAACTTAAATCAATCTCACTGAAATCAGGGACAAGGCAAGGCTGCCCACTCTCTCTACATCTCTTCAACACAGTTTTTGAAGTCCTTGCTAGAGAAATAAGATAATTAAGGAGATCCAGGAGATTCAAATCACAAAAAGAAGAAGTCAAAGTATCACCATTTGCAAATGATATGATAACAGACATGACTGACCCCAAAAATTCTACCAGGAAATTGCTACAGCTGATAAATACCTTCAGCAAAGTGGTTAGATACAAAATTAACTCAAAAAAAATCAGTAGCCCTCCTGTATAAAAAAGACATGAGCTAAGAAAGAAATTAGAGAAAAACACCCTTCATAATAGCCACAAATAACATAAAGTATCTTGGTGTAACTCTAACCAAGCAAGTCAAAGACTTGTATGAAAAAAAGATTTTCCAGTCTCTGAAGAAAGAATTAGAAGAAGATATCAGAAGATGGAAAGATCTCCCGTGCTCATGGCTTGGCAGGATTAACATAGTGAAAATGGCCATCTTACCAAAAGCAATCTACAGATTCAATGCAATTCCCATGAAATTATCAAATCTACTCGTAAGCAGTTGTAAATTCATTCATTTCTCATTTTACCCAATAAACATTAAATATCTATATAGATATATACATATAGATATTAAAATGACTTAGGAGACATACTTCTAGAAATGCTTGTGAGGACATTTCCAGAAAGGTTTAAGTGAAGAGAAAATACTAACTGCTTACTCTAAACTTGGGCTGGATACCCAGACTGAATAAAAGGGAAAGAAAGAGAAAGCTTGATGGGCACCAGAATTCATCTCTCTCTGCTTGCTTACCCCTGTCACCAAAGAAACAGCTGCTCCTGTTGCCAGGCCTTCCCTATCATGATGAGCTCAAACCATTAGCCACATTAATCTTTCCTTTTAAAAGTTGTTTTGTTAGATATTTTGTCACAGCAATGAGAAAAGCAACCAATACAAGTGTGTTGCTTAGAAAAGTGGAAAATTGGCTCCCCCTTTCCCATTGCTCTCATTTTTTAAATTATATATAAAAATTAAACCTCCAAACTAAACTCAACACACAACATATATGATTACATACCCATAATCATTGCTGCAGTATTTAAAATTGTTGAGATATTGAATTAGACTATGTGCTTCTAAAATGATGAGCAGATAAGGCAAACGTGGAGTATACAATGGAGTACTTTCAGCTAAACAGAAGGATGAAATCCTGTCATTGAAGTAAAACCAGATGCATGTTCTCTTATGTGGAGGCTAACTATACTTGATCTATATATTGGATGGTGTTTAATTAAGGTTTGGAAAGGTATAGATTCGGGGGAAGATGGATAAGTAAGATTGTATTTCATCATTTCAAACTATGCATGTGGTGTGAAAATAACACAGTGAATCTCATTAATAAACAATATTTATATATGTTAATAAAAATAAAATGTAATGAAAATTAGAAAATTTATACTAAGTCCATTTACTCAAGTGTTGTTATAGTGTTTTGTTATACTTAAATGCTTTTCATATACTATATTTTGATCATATTATTTCTGCTCCCCCAACTCCTCCTATATCTTCTCAACCTCCCTACCACCCTTCATGTTCTCTCTCTCTTTTAATTACGCCTATACATATTCCATATGATACTGACATTTTATACAATTATTAAGCAGTGACATCTATATAGATGTTTAACTTCTTTATTGCATTTCATTCCATTAAGTATCTAAGCATTCATTTTATTTTTCTTGCTGAAGATCATTAATATTTTCTTCAGTTCTTGGTCATAAGTTCCATAGGTTAAGGAGCATCTGAAAACATCTCTTTCACATTCACTTTCAAAACCCTTATGAAAAGTTGTGAAGCTCAGGGAAGAGAAAGGAAAGTGTCTTACCTGGCAGTAGTGTTGATGTATGGTCCTGGAGCTCCAACCACTTTTATTTTCTTTTCAGTAATTTTGTTAAAATACACCCAGATGAAGTTTTCTTTACATTTATTCCTTTTTGTGTTATAGACTTTTTTTTAAAATTTATGACTTTGTATTTGTGACAGGGAGAATTCTAAAACAACTTCCAGTGACCCTTATTGTTATATGAAACTTTCCTTGAAATGTGAGAGGAATTGTAAATATGAGATCTTACTATGACTCCAAAAGCTTAGAAAATAACAAAAAGATTTGACAAGTGGCATTGCAAAATATTAAAGAGCTTCTGTGCAGCAGAGAAAAAAAAAATAACAGAACAAAGAGACAGCCTAAGATAGGACAAAGATCCATGAATTAATATCCAGAATATAGGAAAAACTAAACAATTACCAAATATATTAATAATTCAAATAATAAATAGACAAATAAATTAAACAGACACCTTTAAAATAATGAATAATAGTTTAGGGGAAAACATTGAACATGTTTAGCCATCACGGGAATGCAAATTCAAAGTACATTGAGATTCTGCCGAATTCCTGTGAGAATGGCTATCATTAGAAAACAAACAGTTCTGAGCATGGTGGCACACACTTTTAATCTCAGCAGTTGGGAGGCAGAGAAAGGTAGATCTCTGTGAGTTCAAGGCCAGCCTTGTCTACACAGAAAGTTCCAGAACAGCCACAGCTACATAGAGAGACCATGTGCCTTAATTAGGATTTCCATTGCTGTGAAGAGACATTATGACCAAGTCAACTCTTATAGAGACTAAAACTTAATTGCGGGTGGCATATAGTTTCAGAAGTTTAGTTCTTTATCATTATGGCAGGAAGTATAGCAGCTTGCAGGCAGACATGGTGCTGGAGAAGCCGAGAGTTCTACATCTTGATCCAAATGCAACCAGGAGGAGACCCTTATTCAACACTGGAGACAGCATGAGCATAAGAAACCTCAAAGTTCCACCCACACAGTACACACTTCCTCCAACAAGACCACACCTACTCTAACAAGGCCATAGCTCCTAGTAGTGCCACTCCCTGTGGGCCAAGCTTTCAAACACATGAGTCTATGGTGGCCAAAGCTATTCACCACCACACTGTGTCAAAAGAAGAAAGGAAGAAAGGGAGGAAGGGAGGGAGGGAGGGAGGGAGGGAGGGAGGAAAGAAGGAAGGAAGGAAGGAAGGAAGGAAGGAAGGAAGGAAGGAAGGAAGGAAAAGAAAAGAAAGAAAACAAACAGCAACAAATGCTGGTGAGAATATTGGGGGATTATATACTGTTGGTAGAAATGTAAATTAGTCTAGTCATTGCATAAAACAGTATGGAGATTTCTCAAAAAAATATCTAAAAATAAAAAGAATTTAAGCCGTTGAATCATAGACTAACAACACCCATAGCACCAAGCATGAGAAACCTCTTTTCAAATGACTGGGGCTAGAGAGATTATGAACCTTAGAAAGCAATCTACTCTCACCACTTTGCCAGACAAGCATAGCTTCTTACTGTAGTCTAATACTTATCCTTATACCCACAGATAAGTGTAGCTACCACCCTCATTAAAGAAGCTTCTCTTTACAGCAAATGGAGACCATCAAAGAAAACCACAAATGGACACAATGTACAGATAATCGATCATAGGGAGCTAGCTCTAATGGATACATCTACATCACATTGTATCTGTGTGATACATG